GGCCTCTGACCCCAAACCTGGACCCGCCACCCTGAGCCTCACCTCCTAACTCCAGTGCTAGCCCACAGCTCTCCCTCTGCCTTGTTCTTTTTCTTTTTTTTTTTTAGTATATTTTTATTGATTTCCAAGAGGAAGGGAAAGGGAGAGAGAGAAACATCAATGATGAGAGAGAATCATTGATTGGCTGCCTCTTGCACACTCCCCACTGGGGATCGAGCCTGCAACCCGGGCATGTGCCCTTGACCGGAATTGAACCTGGGACCCTTCAGTCTGCAGGCCGACGCTCTATCCACTGATAGAGCCAAACCAGCTAGGGCTCTCCCTCTGTCTTTGTGAGCCTCGCTGGGGCCTCCTGGCCCTCTGGGTCAGACCCTCACCCCGCATCCTGTCCCATGAATACTCCCCTCCTCTCTGACTCCCATCCTGGCTTTCCACACCAAGCCATCTCCTAACTCCCTTCTCAACTTACCTTCCTACCATCTTCTCCTGGGGGACCAGGCCGCCCCATATGGCCAAAGTCACCCTAGGGTGGGACCAGAAGGGAGTTCAGTGTGGAAATGTGGGGGAGAGATTAACACACACACCCCCACCTCCCCAGGAAAGAAGATGGGACAGGAAGGGTGAGGGCTCAGAACCAGGGTTGGAAGCTCTGACACCAGGGGGTGGGGAGGGGCTCATGAGTATTGGGAGGGGTTGGGCACGCGGGAGGGCCTCACACACTCACCCTTTGGCCCTGCTCACCAGGCAGCCCTGGAAGGCCATCAAAGCCCCTGTCGCCCTGCACAAAGGGACACCAGCTGAGCCCTGAGTCCTTGACCCTGACATTTCCTCAGTCCCAGTCCTGGCCCCGTCACCCACCTTAGGTCCTGTGTCCCCGGGGAGGCCCCGAGCCCCGTCTGCTCCAGAGCGGCCCTGTGGGGGAGTGACATCATCAAGATACCCACTACATTGACTGAGCATCTTCTGCATACAGAGTCCTGAGCTGGGAGCTTCTGTATTAATCGAACCTTCCACATGTATCTCAAACCCACCCATTACTCTTTGCAACCATTGCCCTTTCTCTAGTCCAAGTCACCATCGTCACAACAATTAAGAAGCCTCAGCTTCAGTCTCCAGCAGCTGCCCTGCTGCGTGTTTCTCATGGCACTTAAAACTACCTGGAGGGATCTTGCTCGTTATTTCCCGCCTGTACCAGACTTCTCTTTTGCACATGCTGTTCCTTCTCCTGGAATGCCCTTCCTCTCCCGTTCACCTGGTTCTACCCCAGATTTCAGCTCAACCTCATTTTCCCTGGCAGCTCCTCCCGGCCTCGGGGACCTGGCCAGACTCTTGTCATACGCTCAGTGGAGCTGCCATTCTTTGTCCTCGACTCTTATCCCACCAATGACACCAACACACCCTGGGAGCAAACAGCGGAGGCTGGTGCTGGGTGTTGAGGGATGGGTGAGACATGACCTGAGGACCTAGGAGTCACTCACCATCTTGCCCTGCCGGCCAGGGGGCCCAACAGGTCCCTGAAGGCCTCGGGGACCCTAGAAGAGAAAGAAAAAGAGAATGGGAAGACAAATAAGAAGCAGGAAGGACTTATTTTAAATCACTCCCTAGTAATTGCAAGAGTATCCCAGCCACTTTGTCATTTTCCCCAACTAGCACTTTATCCGGTGGCCCTAAGGGAAGACCCTTCCCATGCAGTCCAGTCCCCAACCTCCCCCCACCCCCCCCCATCTTACCTGTGGCCCCATTTCTCCCATCTCTCCTTTCTGACCTGCATACCCAGGGAGACCCTTGGAAGAAGAGATGGGGTAATGCCATTAGAATAGGTTCCCCCTCTCCATGACCTATCTCCCTTTCACGCAGCCTCTATACTCACCACGGGGCCTGGGCGTCCAGTGAGCCCCACCGGGCCAGGGGGCCCTTTCATAGAGAGCTGGAAAGACAGAGGGCAACAGAGCCTCAGCTCTCCCAAGAGACTCCAACACCCCCCCATACCCCATCACAGCCCCCACCCCGCCAGAGGGGATCTTCAGGAGACAAATATCTCCCTGTCTCCTGACTAGCCCCTCATTGCCCCCATCTCTGCCATTCCCCCAATGTCCTTCCATCTCCACCCCCCACCCCGTCAGTCCCCTGATTGTCCTCCACGCACCTGAGCCTGTTGCATTATTGCCTGAGCCTGGGCCTGCTGGAAGGAGACTGGGGGTCCTTTGAGGGAGCCGCTTGCAAACTGGAACTAGCAGGCAACTGGCAGTGAGGGGAGCCCCAAAGAGAGGCTCCACCCCCCAAAGCTGTGCCACCCTATCTCCTTCTTACCGGCATCATGATCACAGTTCCCGGTAGGCCGCGGTGTCCATCCATGCCAGGGATTCCTGGGTGACCAGCAGGGCCCTGAGAGAGGAAGAAGGGGGCAGAGAGAGACAGGGATGAGAGATAGAGATGGAGGAGGAGAGGGGTGGAGACAGGGAAATAGAGAGAGGGAGGCAGGGAGAGACAGAGAAAGATGGAGGCAGGGAGAAAGAGAAAGAGAGAGTAGGCAAGAGAAAGAAATAGAGATGGAGGGAGAGAGCCATAAAAAGTAGCAGAGCCCCTAGCTGGTTTGGCTCAGTAGATAGAGCGTCGGCCTGCAGACTGAAGGTCCCAGGTTCGATTCCAGTCAAGGGCACATGCCCAGGTTGCAGGCTTGATCCCCAGTAGGGGGCGTGCAGGAGGCAGCCAATCAATGATTCTTTCTCATTATTGATGTTTCTATCTCTCTCTCCTTCTCCCTTCCTCTCTGATATCAATAAAAACGTATTTTTTTAAAAGAAGCACAGACAGAAATACAGAGAGAGAGACAGACAGAAGACAGATAAAGAAACAGAGACATGGCCTGGCTGGCATGGCTCAGTGGCTGAGCATCGACCTATGAACCAAGAAGTCAAGGTTCAATTCCCAGTCAGGGCACATGCCCAGGTTGCGGGCTCAATCCCCAATGTGGGGCGTGCAGGAGGCAGCCAATCAATGATTCTCTCTCATCACTGATTGATGTTTCTATCTCTTTCTCTCTCCCTTCCTCTCTGAAATCAATAAAAATATATTTAAAAAAAAAAAGAAAGAAAGAAACAGAGACACGGACATAAGGAGAAAACAGAGCTAAAAGACACGCAGAGAGAGAAACAGGGAGAAAAGCAGGAGACAGGCCCCCAGAGACAGAAGGGGAGCCCGAGCCGAGTGACAGTTCACAGGTGGAGAGAGAGGAGCAGGAGGGCCCTGAAGCAGCTCCAGGACGGTATCCCCGGCCCCGCCTCTCAGACCCACGTTCAGACATCCATGCTGCCCCCCTCAGCTCTGCAGCCTGAAACCTCACTCCCCAGACGGATACACCCTGGGGGAGGCTCTTACCGGTAGGCCGGGGTCCCCAGGGAACCCTGGGGGTCCAGGAGGGCCTGAGGGGCCATCCACCCCCTGTTGAGGACAGAGGAACAGAGGTCATGAGAAGCACAAAGTTTGAACCAGGCTGACTTCTGACCCGCCACTGACCCTGACCCCATGCTGACCTCTACAGCCAACCACGGAGCCATTCCTGGCCCCTCATACTATGCGGACCCACAGCAATCCCCTTTACACCCCAATTCCTATTCTGGCATCCTCTGAGCCTCAACCGTCCAATAGTCTTCAAATGACCTGACAATATCACATTCCAACCCCTCACCCCAGGGGCTCAAACACCCCAACTGGAAGAGAAAGACAGGAAGAGAGGAATGCAGCCCTGACTCACCCGAGGTCCTGGGGCTCCTGGGGGTCCCTCGAACTGCTGTCCCTGAAGGAAAAACGAGCGTGACTCCCCTTCTAGCCCAGATTCCACCCCTTCCTCCCAGCCCCAGGCCCCTCACCTGTTCAATCACTGCAGGCTCTCCTTTGGCTCCCTTCTCTCCAGCGCCCTGGGACAGGGGGTGGACAGAAAAGAGATGTGAGCCCTGCAACTCAGACAAAGAACTCCCAGCCAACCAACCTCACACTCAACACACACACTCCACACACACACACACGTGCACGCATGCACACAGGGCCCATCCTCTGAGCTGCCTGCGCTGTCCTTTCCTCAACCAAGATGTTTTGAGCAGCTCGGCTTCCAGCTGCCGCCTGGCCAGGCAGCGTCAGGTGAGAGCAGCCACGCTAGAGCCTGTTGTGCAATCCTAACCCTGGAGCTGCCTCTCACCAGCTGACAGGTGGACAGCCACGCATTTAACTTCTCTGGCCTCCCCTGCAGAGTCGGTGGGTGAATGATGGCATCCCACGACAAGAGGCATCCCATGAACATAGGAATACGGTCAAACAATGCTTGGCACAGAACAGGCACTCGGGGTAAGTTCGTTAGAATCCTTCACCTCCACCCTGTCCAGCACCACAGCTAGAACCTGTGCCCCCTTCTCTGTCTGCGTTAGTTCCCTAGGCGATTCTATCCAATTCCTTGGCTAAAGATAGCCTCTCTCGGTGGACCAGTCCCAGGGTTCATCTCCAGCCTAGACCGTCTCCCTTGAACACCAGAATCTTCTAACGTAACCAACCATCCGCTTGACATCTCCAGTTGGAGGCCAAACGGGGTTGCCGAGTTAGCACATCCAAAATGAGATCCTTGGCACCTCCTACATGCCCCTCCCTCGGGCTTCCCCGTCTCACTCCACGGTCCCATCGGGAATCTACCGTCATCCTTACATCTGTCTCCACCTCCAGCAGCAAGACCAAAATGGAGCATGACCCAGATCTGTCCTCCTGTCTCTATCCCCACCTCCACTGCCCTCCTCCAGGTCACCGCCGCTATCGCGGAGACTACTGGTTTCCCTGCTGCCCCTCTGGCTCCCCCTATGGTCCACATGCTGCTCAGCAGCCAGAGGAGCGGTTAAGACTCCCAATCCGATCTTGTTCCATCTCCAGTGGCTTCTCATCATGCTTAGACGAAGAGTTGAATGAATCACCCCACCCACAGAGCCATCTATTAGCACGATGTCTGCCACATTAGCACAGTGTCTGTAGATAAATATTTGTCAACTCCACGGGGGTGGTAGGAAGGCATGCTAGGCAAGATAAAAATAAGGCAAGAGGGAGAATGTGACCCTGTGTGGCGCCCCCTGCGCCCAACCCAGTCACCCAGACTCACAGGAAAGATGTGGAACTGAGTCTGGGATGGCTGTTCTGCTGCCCGGAAGTTGGGGCCCATGGTGGGGCCATCTCCTTCCTCATCCTCTCTGGCTAAATCAGTCTCCAGGGTCCCCAGTTCATTTTCGCTGTCAGGGTCCAGCCCCTCCTGCAGACATTAGGACAGACCAAGGTTTACCCCGGATCACCTGCCACCACCACTGCCCAGGGACCTTCCCTTCCAGCCCCACCCACTTTCCGCCCACCTCCAGGATGGTGACATTGCGGCCAATGGTCACAGTGGCGGCGATGACCAAGGGCGTGGGAGTCGGGGGCAGCGTTGGAGCTGTTGCCTCTGTCTTGGGGATGTCGGTAGAGGTCTGGAGAAGGGACGCGGGAGGATCAGGTTTAGGGCCAGGCCAATTAAGACAAAAAGGAGACAAAGGAGGAGATGGGCCCTGCCCCCCGCCCAGTCTGGGGAAGTGGGATAAGAGGATTCCCAGAGAACATAAGAGGGATGGGGGGGCGGGGGGCTGCCCACTAGAGGTGAAGGTGTGCTGGCTGGACCAAGACAGCCAGCAGGGGGAGCTCTCCTGCGTGGAGGAGGAGGGCTGAGCCTGGTGTCGGAAGCCTGGAAGACAGAGCGGGGCTGGCTCCAGAGCCCACTGAGCAGGGTCAAGGTCCAGCACTCAGGGCCAGGCTCCCGGAAGCCTATCCCACGTGTTCTCTCCCAAGGCGAGCTCCCAGCCAGCCAGCCAGGCCACAGTGAGGGAGCGGCAGCTCCTCTGGCCTGGACAGCTGCAGAGGAACTGGGTCAAGAGCACAAAGAAGACGGTGGGGGCCCAGGTAAGGGGCTGAGGAAGGGGCTGGGGAAAGGCAGCTCCCCCTGGTGCCCCTGCTCTGGCCCTGAAATAATAAGTCTTTCTCCCCGCTGATACCAGAAGCCGATGTAGTACAACCAGTGCCCCTGCCCTAACCAAGGGCCCCAGCCAATGGCCTTCAGCAGTGACCCCTGCCCTGGGACCCACCAACCATCAATCTCTATCAGGGAAGTCAAATAGTGCTCCCAATTTCAATTACTGACTCCCCAATAAATAACCCTCACCAATGGCCCCAGTCAACCCCAAGGAATGACAGACACACTGATGAACCCCAGCTACCCTTAAACAGGACCCTCATCAAGATCCTTCTAATAATAAGGTCCTCGTCCTGATGTGGCCCCTCCCTCCAGCCCCCCCCAGAACTTGGGGGGAGAGATGGAGAGCTCATGAGACAGAACCAGCACCCCCTCCCCACCACCCAGTCACCAGTCAGCTAAGGTAAATCAAAAGTCAGGGATGGAGACTGAAAGCAGAGACCTTCATCAGTGGGAATCAGGAACCAGAAGTCAGGCAGCCAACGATCAGAGGTGAGAGGTCAAAGGTCCCTTACCCAGTTCTCCAGGGAGCCAAGAGATGGATCCAGGGTCAAGGCCTCCTTGTTCTTCTTCTTCCTGCCCTTCCCCTTACGACCTCGCCCTTTTTTCTTCCCCTTTCCCTTCCTCTTCCGTTTGGGGGGAGGGGTTTCTGGCTCACCCTGGGGGGCCTGGGAAGAAGACCCCAGTCAGACCAGAGGCCCTCCGTGGGGGCCTCATCCCTCCGGTCACTCGAGGCCATGTTAGCACATGGCCCACTAATCCTGTGTCTTGAAGCCAGGGCTCATTCAGCCTTATGATCCCGGGTCAAGGTCACCCATGCCTATGACCTGGTGGAGGGCAGGAGTCACTCAGCCCCGTAGATGGGGCTCAGAGTTCACTCATCCCTGAGACCAGAAGCCGGGGCTGACCAGCCTGTGACCTCAGCGCAGGCCTCTCACTCACCCCGGCGGCTGCAGGGTCCAGGTGGTCACAGGCAGGAAGGTACCGCTCACAGGCCTGGAAGGCCGCCTGCGGGTCTGCGCTGATCAGCAGCTCCTGGATGTCTCCCTGGGGAGAGGTGGGAGACAGGGAAGGAAGCCACCGGCTAACTCTGACCCCCAACCCAAGCATCGAGGCTCGGTGCTTCTCCACCCAGAGCACCCTAAGTATAAGGAGGGGGGGGCCCCCACCACAGTTCCCGTGACCCCTCAGTTCTCCAAAACTGAGAGAAGAGAGAGTCTATCAGGGTCACAGCAAATCACAACCGCAAAGCACACCCCTCAATATCCGTCCCATCAGGGGCACATGTGTTCCTTCGCTCTCAGGTGTCAGGTGACCTTCAAGGTGCCGGGAGAAGGGGAACAAAGGACGGAGGAGGTCGCTGGCCTCCTGGAGGTGGCACACATCACAGTCACACGCAGCACCGTCACCAGCCACAGTCACCACACCAAAGGCACACCTGCCACATGGCCACTCAACATCATGCCTTGCCCGCACCCAACATCATACCAGCCCCCCCCTCCCCGCCGCACGCAATCACACGCCACCACAACGAGCACAGTCACACATCACAACCTTATCCTCTGGCCACAGCCAAGTATGTGCATCACAAATGATCATTTCGTGGCTCTAGAATCTCACAGTCACACACCACAAAGACGCGCAAGGACGCATGGTGCTCCCTGCTCTCCGCTTCCTGGCAGGAAGTGGAAGCTGGACATCCCCTCCTCTAATCTCTCCTCCAGATCAGGCTGTGGATAAAACGTCTGCCCGCCCGCTGCCTCAGTGTCCCCGCTCATTGAACACCTACCTCAAAGCTCTCCTCCCCGAGGTCCTGGCTCCCCAGCATCGTGAGTCCAGCTGTGCTGATGAACCGAGGGCCCTGACCCAGCACCGGGGGCTGAGGTTCACAGTCAGCCACCAGGGTCGCCGCGCCACCATCCACACTGACCGCCACTCGGTGCCACCTGCAGGGAGACGTCTCCGTGAGGGGTGCGTCTCACCCACCCACTCTGTGGGCCCTCCCTCTCCCTCTGCTCACCTGCCATCCATGAGGTTGACCTGCTGGGGGAGGGGCCTAAAGGAGCCACCTAGGAGGCCCAGAGCTGGCCCCAGCGCCAGGCCCAGCTGCCGGGCACCATCCTCATCATAGACGGACAGAAGAATAGACTGGTTGGCTGGCTGGCCCCGCAGGGTGATCAGGACAGAGAAGTTCTCAGGAAACTGTTCATCTGATGGGGTCCGGAGGGAAAGGGGCAACTCAGAGGACCTGGCAGTGACCCTGCTCCCAGGATGACCCCAGTCCCTCCCACACTGACTTACCTGGAAAGAGTTCCCACGTGGGGACGCCCAGTGTGCTGGCCTTGCCCACCCTGAATGCCCGGTCGCCCTCTGGGACCCTCTGGGGGCAGAGGCCAGGCCCCTCGGGGACCCCAGCCTGGCCCCCCCGCACACCCAGAGCCTCCAGCACATCCACGGGGTCTGCTGCAGAAAGAAGCGGGGTGCATGGCAGTTAGAATAAGCCCAGGGCTCCATGTGAGTGGCTGAGGTCTGGGGGACCCAGCTCTCCCCCACACACACACTGTGTTTATGGGTCAGAGAGAGGGAGCAGGTCGGGGACCCTCACCCCCCTCTCCAACCCACAGCTGTTGCGGCCCCATTAGCCTGTTGACTCCTGTTTTGTTGTGTTTTTTTCCCCTTGGTTTTGGTGAGAGAGAAAACACTGACCTAGTTCTGGGATGAATCAAAGCTTCCTGGCCTGAGCCCCAGAGCCAGACTGTCCCCCTCTCCGCACTCCCCCGCACCAGCTCCCTGGGGCAACTTCCAGGCCTGGAGCCCCCTTGCCAGGGGAAACCCACTTGGAGAGGATGGGGCCTCTTGCGTGTTCCTTCCCCACCTCCTCCCTCTGACCTCTTCCTTTGACCACCACTGCCTATGAACTGCTCCCTCTGACCACCACCTCTCCTGACCACTGCCTTCTGACCTCCTCCTTAACCACCGTCACCCATGATCTCCTCCCGGGTCCACTCTTTCTCTGGCCATCCCTTCCGACCTCCGACCTCTGCCTATCCCAGTCATCTGACCTGTGACCTCCCCATTTTATCTCCCTCTTTGTCTTCATTATGAACCAAGGTTACCTCTCTGATAACCTCCTGACCTCCTCCCTCTGACCTGCTCCCTCTCACCCCAGCAAAGGAAGGAACTGGTCTGGCCCAATCAGAGCCTAATCCAAGCAGTTCTACCAGCCCCACCCCTTGCAGCCCAGGCTGGCCAGCAGTAAGTGGAACCACATGGCTGGGCAGGAGTGGGCGGGGCTACCCCTGGCCCAAAGCCCCTGCCCGATCTCCCCTCCTCTCCACCCCCAGCAGACGCCCCACTGACCCCCTGACCCAGCCTCCTGGCAGGAGTCAGATTCTACTGGATCTGCCCATGACCTCAGCCTGGGGGCGGCTCTGCTGACCTCACCATTGGGAACCAGGATAGGGGCCCCGAGCTGAGGGAAATAGGGGCTTGGGTGAGGGACCCCATTCCAGCTTCTCCTGGGTCAGACTTCATTCTGCAGACTCCGTAGAGCCTGTTCCAGCCTCAGCTCCCTCTTACCCCACTTCCTTCTGCTCTTTTTCTTTTTTTTTTATGTCTTCTCTCCCCCACCCCGCCCTCTCTCTGTCCCACTTTCTGTCTCGGTCTTTCCAGGTCTCTCTTCGTGTCCAGCTCTGAATCAGTCTCTCTCTTCCTCTCTCTCTCTCTCTCTCTCTCTCTCTCTCAGTATTTTATTTGGTCTCATATCTGTCTCTCTCTGCATGTCTCTATCTCAGTGCCTCTCTATCTCTCTGTATCTCTGTGTGTGGACTGTTCTCTCTCTCTATCTACCTCCACCCCCCCACCCCCCATCCTGCTACCATCATCAGCCCCATCTCTAATTGCCTGTTCTGTGGCTGGGCTGTCATTAAGAGGTATTTGGGTTACAGGCCCCTGGGGCTAAGATCTGGGCTCCCAGGCTCTGCTAACCACAAGGGTCACTCCCTCGTGCAATGACCATCCCAGCTGCCCCCTCTCCAGGCTGGGGCCCAGGGGAGGGCTGAGAACCAGCATCTCAGTGTGGCTCTCCCAGGCTCCCCCTCATCCAGCCCTCAGTCTCCATGCAGGGTGACAAATCTCCTCTCTACCAGCTGCTCATTCACGTTTAAAAAGTCCTTCCCAGCATCTAACCCAAATGCCTCTTGCTTCAGTCCTGTGTCCCTTCTGAAATGACCTTTCAAAAACTGACCTCCCTTTCTTTTCATGGCTGGCTTCGTGACAAGAAGACACACAAGAGGCATTGAGTCTTGCCTGCAGTCAGGGAGTGGGGGTCTGTCACGGACCCAGCCCACCCTTCCCCCACAGACTCTTCCCCGTGGTGGTCAGGGTCCCAGGGAGACGTTGGGTGGGGTCTAGGATGTGGAGGGAGGCAGGCAGGGACCAGGCTGGGACATGGCTGGGATACCCTCAGTGTAGGAAAGCGTAGGTGTGAGTGTCTGTGCAATGTGCGTATGTGCTACTGTGCACGTGCGTGAGAGTGTGCATGTGTGTGGCATTCGTGGAGCACAGAATGGCTAAGAACGTGATCTGTGGTGTCCGCGCATGCGATTCTGTGGCCTGTGATGGAAAGATTAGGTCCAGTTCTGTGACTTGTGGCTGTGTGTCCATGTGAGTCGGGTCGGCAGTGAGGTCTCACAGGTGATCTGTGATTGTGTTTAGACTGGAGTTGGGGCCTGCGGTAATATCTGAAAGTGTCGCCAAGCCAACGTGTGGGTGACTGGTTGTGAATGTTGACCATGTTGTGTGGGTGCCAGTGGAAGCATATGTGAGCGTTTGAAAGCGTGGGAGGGTGACAAAAGCTGTGGCCGTGTGCGGGTGACTGATGGGGCTGCCTGAGCGTGGGCACCGGTGTTTAACATTCCTGGTGTCCCAGAGGCTTGCATTCTGAATAACTGCCCGAGCTTGAACGCTAGTGTGGATGAGTGAGCGTGGGAATGGGGCACAGGCCAATCTGGGGTTATCCACGTGAGCAGGCACCTCCCTGAACTTCAGGGAAAATGAGGTGTGTGTTTGTGTGTGTGTGTGTGTGTGTGTGTGTGTGTTGGGGGTCTGCGTTTATCTTAGGGAGGGGTTTCCAAGAGGGCCTGCCTGGAGTCTCTCAGACCGGGAAGCTCTCTCGATCATCACTTGAGGGACCAAGATCTTCCCAACCCCCAGGTGCCCCGCACCGGGAACCCCGCTTGGGGGCAGGGGGAACGTGGCACCCAGCCAGAGGAGCGCAGCTGGGCGTGCTTCAGCGCTGACTCACCCCTCCGGGGCCCCCGGGACC